AATGAAGTAAAACTTCAATCCCCAATATAATGTCACAGGTACCTTTACTATGCTGGAGAAGTCACTTCCAAAAGCATACACTGAAATTCTGGCCCCATGCCTTACAGCTGTTCACATTTTGCTACACAAGAAGCACTGCACTTGCCAAACCAATTGTCTCAGTAAAATGAGAAAAGGCTGAACCATTTTCCCATTAAAGACATTCACTAGTTTCCCAGGTATGTGTGTAGCAGTTCGTTGTGCCTCTGCTAATAAAGTCTTAAGTGTGCTGTAAGCATTTTATGCATTAGAATAGTGAATTTTCAAGTTAAGCTTGCAGTTTGAATAACTTTGTAAAATACCTTTATCTTCTTTAAAAATAGGTAAATATGGAGGAAACTGACAGAGGCACCACGGAGAAGATCCTGATCTCAACAAAGTGCCTCTGTGATGCTGGCCTGGTGACTGGTATTTGAAACTGGCAGTAACATTTTTCAGACATGAGGACTGGCAGAAATAAAATATCACCTCATTTATGTGTTTTGCTTGCTTTTCCTTAGAAGTCTGAAGACATCTGCCTTTCGTGGTGCAGAGCTTTCAAAAAGCAGAGAAACAGTACATGAAAATCCAACATACCTGTCTGCACTGTAAGCACCCCTAATATGTTAAAGTTGTTAAAAACATGAGCTCTGCTTTTACAGCTACTGTCACCTGCAGAGATCACAGCCTATACATACCTTACAGATTGTCACAGCTACACAAATGAAACTGCAAGTACCTGATCCTGACAGCTGTTTTAAACAGGATTTGCAAAGCTGCCTCCCAAGTGAAATGCAGACCCAGGTGAGCTCAGCCATCCATCCCTGCTGCAGATGTGCCTGTGCTGCCTGGCACAGGAACTGCCCCACACCGAGCTCTGCCAAGGGCTGGGCTCTCTCTGCCCAGGATGGGAGCTGGTCTGGGTACCCCCCCATGTTCCTGCAGCAGTGCCAATGATGAGAGAGCAGCTGTGCTTTTTGCCCAGAAGTTAATGAATTAAGGTCTAACAGGACAAGATGTGGAATTGGGTGCCATTACACACAACTGCAATCATTGCTAGAGCCTTGGGACGCTAAGGCTGTGCAACAAAGGTTTAGTGGGGAAGATGCTTAAGCTTTAAACATCGACACTAAACACCTGATGGTGATGGAAGCACAAACAACTTTTCTTTATTCCTTTCCCTTCTGAATTTACTTGTACTCTATAGTGGGGCTAAAAAAAAGAAAACAAGGCAAACACTATCCTCCTAAGCTCTGATCCTTTGCTCTCTGTCCCCGCCACAGTATATCTAAATTTGCTTTAACATACCTTCAGCAGGGTTCAGCTTTGCTGCAGATGTTTCCAAATGTTTCTATTTTAGACAATGCCTACAGAACACACTGAGTTCTCCTCTGAAGAAACAGCTGCTACCTCAAGGAAAAGAAAAAACAGGACCTGGTGGGGCATCCAGGCCGGTGTGTGTTGTACATTTCCCATAGTTCTATGTCTACAGAGAATACTTCCCAAGGAGGAAGGAAGATTTTTGGTGTCTTTTTGAAACAAGCAAACAAGGGGATTTCCACTTTATGGTCAGCAGACACTCTTTTGAGATAAAGAGGAGTGGATAAAGATCCTACATGCCTTTAAGCATACAGAATAAAAACCACTAAGATTCTAAAGGTTTATAAATGGAAAACCATCACCAAGGAACCAAGAAGTCTGGCTCCCCCTTTGAACGCTGCTTTCAGCCTCAAGGAGACACATTTTTTGTTCAACTTTCTCACAGCATTCACCTAACTACACTTGCCAGCATCTTTTGCCAAATTAGAGAAACTGCTGCAGAAACCATCTGCTTGACATTGCTTACATATAATAAAGTATGGCTCAATACAATGTGTTGGAAATGTTTGGGGATCTTTACATGGGAACCAAGGGCAGCAGTGCTGACTCAGGCAGATCTCCCGCTGATGTCAGTGGGAATTGCACCTGAATGAGCTCTGCTGGAGCTGATACAGAGCTCGCTGTGCAGTGCCTGTCACTGACAGCAGAACATGTGGTTATAGTTTAACAATACCAACTGTAATGGAGATGAGAAGGAAACTTTATAGCACTCTGGTTTGCTGCTCTTTTATAACTATCCAAAACTTTTAAATGATTTGTACACGTCTGCTCTGCAACAGCTTTTTTCAAGTGGACACTGAGAAACTGCTCCAAAGTTAGGTCCTACCTAAGCAAGAGTTTATCTGTTGATATTAAAAAAATGGACACCAGAAAGATTACATATAAAGCCTAAAATAAAACTTCACGTTTCCCTACAGATTGTACTACATTGTCTCTGGATGAGAATTCAGGCATTTCAACACATCTCCAGTGGTTCAATGTGAGGCAGAAATAAAGCCTTTGTAGAACAGACTCTGTCAGCCCAGTAGCAGGATGTGTGTGACAGCTGCTACATCAAAGCACAGCAGCTTCTCAAATTTGACTCCAAATGTAGGTGTTACAAAATTACAGTTTCAGTAAGTGTAAAAGCTGACAGTGTTATAGCATCTGTGAATCGTGATCACCAAAGCAGCACCTCCAGAGGCATCAGTCAATTCCCCAACCTCACATGAGTTGCACAAGGCTGAAGAATGGCAACAGAGAGAAAGTAAAGAAGAGAAGCTGTGATACATGTTCCCATAAATCTTAACCACAGTTACAATAGAATGGATTCTGAACCATCAGGAATTCCTAGGAAGGGGCCACATTAGAGAAACAAATGCAGAGTAGGTAAAATATTTCCTTTTGCAACCCACTAATTAGCATGCACCCATCACAGAGGTTACACAATTTGCTTGCAGCTCCCAGGCACCTTTTCCTTGAAATACTACAAATAAACTCCTGTGTTTTGCATTGCAGAGCTTCTGCTACCCTCAGTTTACCAGCCATGGGAACACTGGGTGTGAGATTAGCTCAGTTGGTCAGAGCAGGGTACAAAAGGCTGCGGGTGTGATCCCCTCATGGGCCATCCACTTGAGAGACAGACTCAATGATCTTTGTGGGTCCTTCCAACACAGAATATTCTATGATTCTGAAATTCACTTCCACATCATGTCTAGAGAAACTGCACTCCTTTTGCTCAGGCACAGGGACACAGTGAAAGCTGAAAACCATCACATGGATTGTCTGTTTTTTTCATGTGATGAAAGGCAGAAGTGCTGGAAATTGAAAACACGCAGGCAAGGAAGATCTCAATCCGGATCTCAAAGTAGTGCAGCTTTGTAGTAAGTGATCATCCTCACTGTCAGATATTCCCCAGAGAGGACCTCTGGGTAGGGATCTTCCCGGATTTAGGTGGCCAGGATAGAGATTCTGAGAAGTTTCAACTGCTTTGGTTGAAGGAATGTAACCACTTAGTGTTTGACCCCTGATTTGGGCAAAGGCTAATGCATGGATACTTTATAAATCATTGCTCAATTCCCTCCTGAAGCAGACATCTTCATTCTGTGTGAACTGTGAACAACATATGCATGCCAGTAAAGGGAGCCTGGAGGATCAATGTGAGGGACCCAGCACCCGGGCTGGAGCTCACTGACAGAGAAGACTCTTCCTGCTATTCTGTGAGGAGATTCTCTGACCACTTGTTTAGCCGCAATGCCTGATTCATCATTACCTGTACTCCATCTTTCCTATAAACCCTCCTGGAAGAGAATCCACTTGCAAAGGGATGCTTAGGAAGAACACTGAAGTATCATTAATATTCTCCATGCTGCAGTCTCATTGAAAGGTTCTGCAGACCAAGAAAAATGTATCAAACAGACTTTGATCTCCAAAAACGTGGCTCTAATACCATATGAAGGAGTGTATCTACCATCCACAGAATCACAACATGCAATTAGGAAACAGTAAAATAATAAAATAATCATTCCTATAGAATTATAATATCTTGGAAGACACTAAGTGTTCGAAAAAATATCTGAAAGTTAAAATAAGGATGTTTGGTTTAGAGAAATCATCACAGAAGGGGCACCAACTAAAATTCCAACACAACTGTAAAGCAATAAGGGTAATGAACATACAGAGGCACCATTAATTTGTCTTATGATATCAATTCCCACTTTACTGTAACATTAAAAAGCTGTTGGTCTAGGTCAAGTGAAAGAACAGTTGTGTCACTGCAGTTATTCAAGGGAACATGAAGCCTGTAGTTACACACAGTAGAAAACTAATTTTAGGTCAATAACAATAAGGTCAACCAGAATTGCCATTCCTGAACAGCTACTTACCTTGCTTATGACAGATCACTTGACACACCTTTATTCTGCCTTTTGTGTGAATATTGTACTTTTATAGCTTCTTCTTCCAGTGTACCTACTGAGACAAAAGGTTTATACGAAATAAAGCAAGCAGGAAAAGTAAGAAATGTGGATCACTGTTGTAGTTTCCTCCCCTTTGTAAGATTAAGGGAAGGAATGCAGTATGTACCTCTCACCTTAAGTGAAAGCAAGTCCAAAATAATTCCATGCTGAAGCTTACAGTTAAACCCAGACAATCAGTTATTTAACTTCTGACATCCCTGTGTTACCTTGTCCTTGTTGCTTGCACTCTTGCTTGTGTTTTTGTATGTCACATTTCTCCTTTCCAGCTGGAACTGTAATTCTGTTCCCAGGGGTGACTGAGAGCAGGGCAGCCATCTGTGGGACAGTGGTTTTGCCTGGATCATCAGCGCACAGCAGTTGTTCTCCAACCTGTCTCAAAAGCACCAAGTCCCAAAGCACAGCTTGGCACAGAAGTGAGGTTTTGTTCAGAGGAATCTGACCAGGATGGTGTTGAAAGCAAGAGCATGGCCACGCTCAGGGTGACTGGGATAAATCCAGAATGGGACAGGTCACTGCCTGCCATGTCTCTCACAGAGGAGCAATCCCACGGAAGAACCAAACAGAAACATCTGCAAAGCTGCACAAGGAACTGAACTTCAGCTCTGGGCTATGAGCAGTTTTAACACTTCATCAAAGGAGGTTGAATTTTTACTTTGGACAGTAGACTTTATTAGAAATTTTCTCCTCATTCATCAGTAAATTCACATTAAAATATGCTGAAGGCAGCTCAGTCTAAACATTTGACATTCTGCCCTAACAACAACTTCCAGTTTAAAAACTAGATAACTGATTCAGGCAGATAACTTGAAACATGTAAGAAACACAAACAGAAAGCAGCATCTTAAAAAAAAAAGGGATGAGCCTGAAAAACGGATACATTTCAGATGGAGCTGGGGAAAAAACCAGAATCAGTCACCCCAAGATGGGAAACAGTTAAATGAGAACTCCAGACGCTAAACAGATAAATAAACATTACAACCACACATACATTAAAAAGAAAAAACAAAGTACTTAGAGTTCATACCACATAAAAATTATAAATTTGTATTTTTTTTAAAAAAAGTGACAAGCTTCCTAAAATATGAATATCCTAAATTCTTGAGACAATGAACACTTTGTTATAAACTGCAGAACTTTGGAGGGACTAGATTTGGTCTTGAAAACAATGAACTGCACCTTACTGTTACCAAGTCCAGAAACTGATCTGATACATAAACCGTTTGTTTCCTCTCATGTTTTTAAACCACATTCTCTTCTTTTAGACAACAATCTGCTTTTTTTTAAACAATAGAGCTTTTAGATATTATAGGCCTAATTATATTGAGCACTGAATACAGAACTCTCAACAACTCTGCATACCAAGGTTTAAATATTTTTCAGAAGTTACTGTCAAGACTTTTCCTTTGTTAATTTATTTTTATTTATTGGAGTAAAGTGTAGGAGAGAGAAAAAAATAATGAAAATCATAATATTGAAAAATGCTCTGCCTGCAGGACACTGAATCTTGCAGGTCAGATTTTCTATTGGCATTTACCAGAAGCAACAAAGATAAACCAATCAGTGTATGAGAGATGAGAATTATAGCCTTCAGGACTGTAAACACAAAAGGCAACAGGTAACACATGAACCTCAATCAAATCAATGTTTTCACATTTTTTAGTAGTCCCCCACAGGGATCTGCTTTCACTGGTTCAGAAAAAAATACATATATTAAAAATTAAATAACACTTCAGTGTCCATCACAAAGATTTATATTTTGCTGTAAACAATTTTCTGCCATTTGCATTGATGAAGTCCAATGTGAGGCCAGAGGGTTCTAGATTTCTTATTGGTACTGTAAATAATTTTTCAGAGACAGAGGCAAAGGTAGAATTTCTATGTCATGCAGGCGGTCTCTGCCAAGAGCAAAACGAATTGATCTTCGGCACAAGTCCATTAAAGGCAGGGGTTCCGCTGGAAAAACAGGAGAAAGAAAAGAGAAGAAAACAAAGAGTTAATTTTCCAGCATCTCCATTTACAGACAATGTTTTGTTTATGAACAGAGATTCTGTATTCTATCGATCAGTCACAAAGATAGTAATGGTATTGGGAAAACCTTTGTATCTTGAGGCAATTAAGATAATCAATACAAGCCAAGGCAGAATTTTCTACATTTCACCCGTAGTAAGGGGCTGCAAAGTTTCACACTGAGCTTCTTTATCTGTGAGGTTTAAATCAATAATACCAAACCACTTTTCAGGCTGTTCTATCAAGCATGAGAAGTTACTACATTTCCAGATCTCAAACAAGACAGGGAGTTTCTACTGTGTTTATAACACAACATTCATCATTTTGTGTTAACATGAACTACACTGGCAACTTCTGACCTTTACATCCCAGCTCCTTCTGCATCTTAGGAACTGGAAATGGCATTCAGGGGTAACCCAACTACTCAGCCAACAGTGCTTTTCCTGCAACACTCTCTTAGTCTTTCTTTCTAGGAACTCCTTTGGAAGAAAAAACTAAACAAAACACCCTCCAAAATCTAGAAGAAACACAACCTTTTCATCTGTGAATAAATTAGTGGAGGAGGATTTGGCTGACTGGAAGGCAGAGTGAGTGTTCCCATATGTATGCACACAAACACCCCCAAAGTATATAAACAACATCTTCAGATGTCTTAAATTTAATTTAATCAAATTGAATTAAGTATCTGCTAGAAATGCCTCATTGATAGCACTTAAGACTGGAGACCCAAACTCTGATCCCCAGCATCTCAAACCATCACACCCCTATACCCATCCTGGCCTGCAAAGCTAGCACAGACTTGCAGGAACATCATGAAATTTCCACCTCATAGTAGCAAGAATCATCTCTGTGACTGCAGTGCTGGCAATGGAAATCCTGTTGCCACAGGAGCTGGAATAAAGCTGTGAAGTCTTGTACCAGTTACTGCTATCTTTAAGAATTCCAACCAGATGGATTTTGTTGCACATGCTGGCTTAAAAGGGTAAGAACTTAAAAGATTAAAGGAAACTTTTCTTCTTTACATGATAAAAGAGTAGTAGCCTTAAAAACCTTACTAGCACTTTCAAATGGAGGGGGAAAAAAAGTATTGTGCCTATATTGTAATGATAACGTTTTATAAACTTGACAGATTTCTTACAAGTGCTCAACACTGTACAGCCCTCAGTGGTTTTATCAACATCTGTTGTATGAGCCATGTGCAGATTTACACACACTGCCTAGTGGAAGGCATCCCCTCATGGCAGGGGGGTGGAACCTGATGAACTTTAAGGTCCCTTTTAGGGACCATTCCATGACTTTATTCTGTAATTCTGTGTTAATCCATCAATCTGTTAGCTGATACTTTTAAAACTACTTGGAAAAAATCATTACAAAGCACAAAATATCCAGTTAAGAACTGGATTTATACGCTAGAATTGTCTGCTCTGGTGACACACCATCGACTTAATGGATTTTCCATCATTTATCCCAACATCACATTTGATTTGTGTTGTCCACAGTTCACTATGATATTTCCCCAAAGTGGCTGCAAAAAAGCTTAGAAAGCATTCTGAAAGACTAAAAAGCTTTTTTAGCTTATAACCACTTCAGTGACTTGATATGGAGTCTACTTCTTGACAATTCACCTCACTGATAATTTTACCTATTAAAAATTACAAAATAAGAGCCCTCACGTTCCATTAATAAAGCAACATTTTCCCTGCATAGGTGATTTTAGTTTTAATTTTTTCCACAGCAGAACTATGGATGTTAAATCTTAAGGGATGAAGCTGTGAAATTCATTAAGCAGGATTAATAAGCAGGAGCAAAAATAGCTCATGAGTTCTGGGACACGGAATACAACACATCTTACAAGCCTTACACCATAAACAACAACTTTCCGAGTATCTTCCCACAATCTCTGAGGTCCCATTAGGAAGATATAAAATGAGGACTAGGAGTGTTTAAAGCCATTAACTGACCATGTGGTCTCTTTTTTTTTCCTAGACAAAGGAATATGTAAAATGTAACCATCTGTGCAGCCAGGCACAGTGTTAATCCCAAACTTCAAAACACAATTTAAGGAAAGGTTAAATTATTTTTCAAGCTTGAAATGCTGAATGAATGACTCCTGTCTCACTTCTACAGGGAATTTTCAAATGCTGAAGAAAATGCCCTCGAGTGTTTGCAACAGCTGCTAAATTGCACATACTAAATGTGTTTTTGCAACTTGAAAATTGAACTATATTCTTTTTATTCTACCCGACAGCAGTTCAAACCTACAACACATTCAGAACAGGTTAGTCCTACAACACTAAATAAAAATTATGTTTTCTGGGGTGCTGGCTGTAAGAACTTGAGAAAAAATTGTAATAATAACATTTTAAGTTAAAAGTGTATGTAGCTGTGCATAGTCCTAAATGAATGAAAATTAAATTCAGAAAAAGAAATAATCTTGGTTTTGAAACAGTTTATGGAACAAAGATAGAACTCTAAAATTAAAGACTGACAATTCTCAGGCAGCCCAACTTGACAGAACTATTATTAACCACTTGGTGTGTACCTTAATGCTGGCACTCCCCTTTCACCACATCTCACATTCTCACTATGTATTTCACAAAGCAGGAATAAAAGTACCACGAGTAACTCAGTCCTTCCAGAGGGGAAAGGACTGGTTCAAGCTGAGGATTTGCCATGCCAGGTGAAACACACACACAGACTCCGTGCACCCAAAACACTCCACAGCACATTCAAATGTACAAATCATACTTCCAAAATGCTGTTTTGAGATCATAGAAATACTGCTGAGAACAGTCTAATAATGCAAGAGATGGGAAGATAAATACTCTGAAAACACATCATTAGCTTTAACTTGGCTACAGAAAAAGCCTTTTTTTCACACCTTTAAATATTTATCTTTGAAAAACTTTTAAATTTAGGGATATTAACTGTATGTCAGAACATCCCACTAATTCTAATGCACATTAGGTGTACCAAGAGTTGTATTTTTAAAACAACCCCTGATGGATTGGAACTGGAACATTCAAGGCCCCCAGAAGAACCTGAACTAACCATTTTTCCAAAGTTATGTGAACTCCAGTAAAGTCCACACCATTAGGAGTAAAAAAAAAAAAAAAAAAAGGAATGAATTGTTGAGCTGGAATGCAAAATTGCAAAGAAAACATGATTCACAAGAATGGCTCTTTGTACTAAATTCCCAACCAGGCTAGGAACCCCAAGGTGAGACACTCCAGGGCAAGGGAGCAAGCTCTGCACAGGAAACCCAGCGCTTCCTCTGGGCTGCAGCAGCACCCGGAGAGAAAGTGCAGCCTTTGGGTATCAGCTCCAGCCCAGCCACCTTCCTGAACACTCCGTATCCAACCACCTCCTCATCTGAACTTCACTCTGAGACCTCTTCACCCAAAGGCAGCTCCTCATTTCTGCCACATTACAGAAAAGTATTTCTCAAGAAAAGAAAAAATGAGTTTAAAAACTGCTTAATTGACTTGTCAGAGTTTAATTCCTGTGTCTCCCCTTTTGGCACCAGTAGTTTAAAAAAAGGCCCTTTTGCAAACCTTCCCTTCCATACACCAGTCACACCCAGGGGGACACTTTGGCAGCACAACCACAGTCACTCTTCTTACACAGAGCTGCATTTCACCAAGAGGGCCACAATATAGCTTAAATGGCTATTTAACATAGGAGCTAGTAACTTAAAAATAGCTTAAATACATATTTGGTTAATTACATTAATTAAAATAGCTATTGAGTAACGATTCAGCTGTTAATAACACAAATTAACTCTGTTATTGTACATAGAGATACAGTCATTCTAATGGTGTCACTGCTGGGTTAAGGACAAAGGCAAAGAAATGTTTGTAACCAGACACAACCCTGTGCTTGTGAGCATTCCTCCAGTGCACATACATTTTTGAGAGCAATTTGCACATCATTACCAGCTGAAAAGTTCATTTAGTTTTGGCAACCTGTAGTTATTTAACAATCTGGCACTCCAGCAAGGCTGCCTCCTCTCTGCAAACAGGCTTTTGTAGTGGAGATAAAGTCATCGAGCAGCTGATAACACTAAATGTTATTAACTGCAACGTTACATATGGCTCACACAAAAGAGCAGCTCTTATAGCAGACAACACTTATTTGCCAAATGACAATATAATTTTTTAAAATAAATTTGTAAAGCTCTGACAGCACCTCACGTTCATGGCTTTCATTAATCTATGAAGAACATATTTTTATCTCGTGTTATAAAAACAGAGATGATTGGAAGGGAGAACCACCATCAGCAAAATTAAAGCTGGGTGAAAGACAAAGGAAGTTTTCAGAAGAACTGATGTCACCAGAACTTAGGAAACTAATTTTTTTTTAAGTTATTTTATATACATACCTAAGACACCGAGCTATTTTATATTTTGACAGTTTTGACCTTTAACTTACTAAAAAAAATCACTTACATTCAGCAAACCATGTTAATGTTTCCAACTGCTGAAAGGCACTTTTAAAGTCTCATTTAAAAAAAAAAAAAAAAAAAAAAAAAAAACAAACCAAACAAAACCCCCAGTATTAGGAGACAGAGATACAATTGCACACCATTAAATAAGTGGCATGGGCATCTCTCCAGTCCTAATTTTGCTCTTCTCAAAAAGAACGAGCTAGCTCATTAAGGAGCTGAAGGCACAATGCCTCAAGAAAGGGAATGTAAAGTCTTGCAGAAGTGCTGCATGCCTGGTGCACAGAGAGGACAAGAAGGGAAAGGAGGGAAAAGCAGGATGCCACTGTTCATATCCTGATGCCACTGTTTATGTCCTATCTAGTGTCATGGTTTGACACTGGCCAAATGCCAGGCGCCTACAAAAGTCATTTGCTATAGCTGAGGAGAGGGGGAAAAAATTAACGAAGGGCTCATGAGTTAAGGACTGGGAAAAAAACACTCAAAGGGCAAAACAGGTTCA